CTGCCTCTGCCTCTGCCTCTGCCTCTGCCTCTGCCTCTGCCTCTGCCTCTGCCTCTGCCTCTGCCTCTGCCTCTGCCTCTGCCTCTGCCTCTGCCTCTGCCTCTGCCTCTGCCTCTGCCTCTGCCTCTGCCTTCTTCTGCTTCTGTCCCCAGAGGCCAGTATCCCCCTTCTCCATCTCCTTCCCTCTTTATGTTTCCTTTCCCCTAATAAAAAACTCGTTCCATGTGAACTCTGCTGTGTGGCATCTTTCTCTCACACATTGCTTTTTTAAAATCACAAAAAATTGTAATCATAAATGTTTCATTCAATAAAATGTTAAATAAATTTCATCTTTATTAAGAATTTTTTAGCTTGGAGGCAGATTGCTAAGGTAAATGAATACTTTTAGTGATTATAATTTGTTGATACAAAAATATATATAGCTCATGCCTTGAAGGAAATAAGAGATAATTTTTGGAGGCATTTTGGGTAACTGAACGCAGATTTAGGTTACCCCAAATTCCACATTCCAACATGGAAGCAGTTTCATAAAACCTATAGTCTTATAGAACAAAGAAAGTCACAAATCAAGACAAGTTTAAAATACTTTTAGTGGGTACATCAGACAGGTGGCTACAGCAAGATGGAAGAAGATTTTTCCTAGGCTTCTGTGGTGGTGTGAGAGGGAATGGCCTCCTAGGCTCATATGTTTGTATGGCTGGTCCACAGTTGGTGGGACATTTGAGGAAGGATTAGGAGGTGTGGCCTTGTTGGAGGAGACACATTTCCAAAGCTCACACCATTCCCCTTAGATCCCCACCACACTTTTCTCTCTCCTCATGCCTGTGTAGCAGATTCAGCTTTCAGATATTGTTCACCATCATGCCTGCCTGGCACCATGCTCCCCACCATAACAGTCATGAACTCTTACTCTGAAACTATAAGCAAGGTCCCAAATTAAATTTTTCCTTTTACAAGTTGCCTTGGTCTTGGTGTTTTGTTATAGCGACACAAGAGTAACCAAGACAGTCTCGGATTCTATCTGACAACATTCTTCGCTTTGGGGCTGGTAGAAGCTAGAAGTTGGTTAAGTTAACAGATTTCGAGGGGTTTTATTCATCAGTCACAGGATGCTATTCCTGGCACACAGGCATGGAGGCAGGCAAGGAATCCAGGAGATTAAAACTAGCCTGATAGAAGGTAATTAGCCTCTGGACAGATGACATCCCAACCTCTGTACATCACTGTTTTTAATCAATTAATCAGGATTGTAGACACAGCTTCTTTCCAGGAAGTACCATTCACAAAATCAGGAAGTATTTTCAAAGATGAATAAATGAAGCAATACGCAAGTATTCGTCAAAAGCACAGATCTACTCCTGAGTAAATTGGGAGCATGGGGACCATGGGAAAGGGTAGAAAAGAAGGGGAAGGGAAGGGAGAGGAGCAGAGAAAATTATATAGCTCAATAAAGTCAATTTAAAAAAAAATTTTAAAGCACAGATCTAGAATCATTTTTATACTTAATGTGAACTCTAGTGCGATATCTAGAACCTTGAATTCTAATAAATACCTCCTGGTTAGTTACAGTGAGGGCCTAGGAGGCAGACAGACAGGGAAAAGATGCTCATGTGGTTTCATGTGCTATTCACTTAAACATTTATTATGACCATCTTCCTGATTCTCCCTTTCTAAGATAAAGACTTGGTGAGATTTATCCTATTTGGTAGACCTTTCTTAGGGTTGCTGTTGTGGTGAGAACCAATCAGCTTTCCTTTCTTTGTCTGGACTATCCAACCCCCTATGGTAGCCCACATCAGCTAATTATAATGGGTTAGGGAATCCATTGCATCATCAAACACAAAACTTTGGCTCTTTTGGATACCATATGAGGTCCCCTCTCCACCTTGGGGAGTATGTGTCTGTGTTATTTGCTGTGCAAACATGTTTCCGCTTTCATTAAAATCTGGCTAAGTGCTGAAACTTTTCTTTTCCCGCCTTTTGATTCCTTAAATCAGTGGAGAATATTCTGTCCTGTAACTCTAGGCCACCCCACCATGATAGGATCAGTTGGGAGCCTTGTATTCTGGATGAATACAAGGTTCAGTTCTTGCCAAGACAAACAATAAAGGATTTGGAGAGTGCCCTTGTAATCATCTAGGGCTCATGCAATATTTTGGAATAAATGGAAGGGAAATGGTCATAGTTGAGCCCTTAGTTGATATTTTTGTTTCTTTTCCTTTCTTTGAAAGGCTAGCAAGCCCCACATTCTAACTCCAATGCCTGTGTAATGGAGAGGAAAAGAATTCTTTCAGATAGTTCTTGCTGAAATTACTTATTGTAAGAACTTACTGGAAGTTCTTTCCATCCAGTTGGCAGCCAGTCCTGTGGGCTGAAATTAATGACTTCCTGGAGCTAGTTTCTGAACTCTGGCTCCAGGGAGACTACATAAATTTACAGCAAAGGAGAATGAATTTTATTGTTTTATGCTAGTACACAGAATCTTTTTGGATTGTGTGAATCTTCCTTCTCTGTTTTCACCTCAGTAGTTTGATTCAAAATAAAAGGAACTATTGAAGGTTAATATTCAGGAGGAAGCCTATATGATTTTCTTTGGGTTCTCCTTCTTATTTAGCTTCTCTAAGAACCCGAATTATAAGCTCAATGTCCTTTATTTATGGCTAGAAACCAAATATGAGTGAGTACATCCCATGTTCCTCTTTTTGGGTCTGGCTTACCTCACT